CTCTCGCAGACTTTCTTACTGATATATGAAGAAACTGGCAAGTAATTTTCTTATTTTTCTTCCTACATTAGTATGATTGTGCTTTATGTAGGAGGCACTGTAATGTAATGTAGTTTGAGCGTTATGTAAAATACAATGCCAATATTTGTACTTTGCATGAAAAGACGAAATCCATCGACCACAGGACCCCGTCCCTTGGCCCGACTCGTTTTTGATGGAGTATGTGTATCTGTGTGTACACTGCAGCATTAGATATATTCAAGAATAGAGAAGTTGATAAATATATATATAAAAAGAGGTAGTTCAACAAATTCATACCAATAATTTATTTTCACACAAACTTAATCAATAAAAACCAAAAAAAATAATATTAAGTCAAGAAAATTCATTAATCAACATACAACACATCAAAACACTCCATATATATAATAAAATAAACTCATAATAATTAATTTACAAGGTACTTTTTTCTAGTTATTTTTGCTCTTCCTCCATTAAATTTGTAAAAATAAAATTAAAAAAAATTGATCCATCTCAACAAATGGATCAATCACTTAATTAATTAATAATTAATTAATTAATTATAGGATTAATCATAGATTATTGAGATAATCAATACTTAACAGATGGGATTGAATCCCAGTTAATATCTCCTCCATCTCTATGCTGCAACAAAGCCATCTGGTGTAAGTCCGGCGCCATCTCCGACACACTCCACACCTTCACCGACTTATCAAGGCTCCCACTGTAAACCACCCACTTCTTATCTCCGCCGCCCGCGGCGGCGGACTCCTTGTCCTCCTCCACCGCCAGGCACTTCACCGGCCCGGTGTGCCCGGTCAGCACCGAGAGGCAGGTATGCACCGCCCCCTCCCTCCTCCACACGCATATCGTCTTATCCGCCGACCCGCTGAAAACCAGGCTTCCGGCGGCCTCCAGGCACAGCACCGCCAGCTTGTGGCCCTTCATCACGCCGCCGTGGGAGAGCTGCTTCTCCATTTCCCAGAAGTTGACCAGCCCGTCAGACGAGCCGCAGTACACCACCGTCCCGGAGTCGTTGACCGCCAGCGCCGTGACGGCGGACTCCTGGCTGAGCAGCGTCTGCGTCAGCGTGTGCTTCACCACCTTCCCCTTCTGCTCCCTCTTCCACACTTTAACGGTGCCGTCTGCGGAACCCGTGTAGACGACGCCGTCAACGGTGGACACGACGGAGTTAACGGCGTCGTCGTGCGCCTTGACGGACTCGACGCACTTGTTGGTGTCGACCTTCCACACTTTGAAAGTTCGGTCCCAGGAGGCGGAGTAGAGGAGGCCCTTCTCTTTGTCCATGCTCAGGCAAGAAATGGCGTCGGTGTGCTTTATCCACAGCGCCGTTTTCTTGCGCTTCACTTCGACGTAGTTCCTCGGACGGATCGAAGCTTTGAATATGTCGAAGAACGTCGGCATCGTGCCGACGCGTTTGTGGACGCTGGGTGTCTTGGGGTTGATTCTCCAGACGCGAATCTTTCCGTCCTGGTGGCCGGTGAAGATCTTGTCGCCGGAGATGATGATGGCCTTGACGAGGCCGGAGTTCGACTTGAAGGCGGAGAACTCCTCCATGTTCTTCCACACGCGGATGTTCTTGCTGTCGGAGCCGGTGTAGAGGAGGTCGTCCTTCGCCGCCAGTGAATATATGTGGCCCTCTTCCCTGACCAGGGATCCGACGAGGCCGCACTGCGGCGCGGCGGCGGCGTTGTCGAAGTTGGACCAGGGGGATTTGGTGAAGGGGGAGGAGTTCTGGTTCCAGGGTGACATCATCATCGGGGAGCCCTCGCCGCTGAGGCGGTTGTTGGGGTCGTCGTAGGCGGAGAAGCTGCTGTTACGCGGCGGCGCGTAGTCCTCGGCGTCGCTGGAGGCGGCGGAGGAGGAGGAGACGTTGGGATCGGAGTGCACGACGGCGGCGTATCCTTTCTTGGAAGGCATCTTGTTGTTGTTATTAAAATGTTTGTTTGTCAGCAATCAATCCGCCTTCCCTGATTTTGGTTCCAATCCCACAAACTATGGAATTTGTTAAAAAGAAAGAAAGAAAGAAAATGGAAAGATGGTTGAAACAATGGTGAGAAGAAGATGGAAGAGTAGTGAGAGAAAGTAGAAGATGTAGAGGGAGAGAGATTTTGTAGGGGAAGGATGTGTGTTGTGTGAGTGACACGTGTGGGGAGTGGGGGCACCTAATTGTAATTGTTGTGGGGTTGCTATGAGATTTTCTTGTTAATGGTAGTTTTACACGTATGGCCATGGATTCTTGTAAAAAAATATTCATCAAAATATGTTTCTTTTCCAATGATTAACAAATAATATATGGGTAAATTACGGGCACCCAGAGCTATGGTTGAATACAAAAAAAATCCTTTTGTTTGAGTAATTACAGACACCCCTCCTTATGAATGTTTTTATATAAAATTTATGTAATTCGATTATTTATCGAACTAAATTGTATGCTCAGTTCGGTAAACGGTATGAAATGTTGACGTACTGAATTATTTGTTTGATTTTACCGATTTAACATCTCTAAATTTATCTCTTGGGAGATTTTCGTAAAATAGTACATAGTTGGGGCAGCAGTTGTAATTACCAAAAAATGTGAGAAATTTTCGTAATTTAACCATAACTCAGGGGTGGTCGTAATTTGCCATATATAAAATTTGCCATAATATATATGATATACCTTATTGGGTCGGGCCAATAAGACAACGAGTATTTTGGACCATCTAAAAGGTATGTCATTCATCTATAAAATTATTAATTAATGGTCAAATTCCGTTAATAAAAGGTTATAAACATATTAGGGTTTACTAATCGTATTTAGGGATCTACTCTAATGACTCTACTAATCACGCCATAAATAAGTAATAACCCATGTCGTTCACCTTTACAAGGTACGCTTTTATTATTCACCTAAACACTCTAGAATATGTGTGATCTACCCTCATGATTGTCGGACACAATTACCGACTTGATCATATCACCCCACTTAGTTTACATTTCCTTACCCATATAGATTATAGACTCGGGTGTATTTACCTCTCCACATAGCGGCGAGCCTACCTAAATCATCTACTCGTGTGCAGTAACTTATGATGTAAGTACGTAAGAGAAACATCATGAGTGATGTAGCATATAATTTGTTATACATATTTATGTGTCTAAAATAAAATGTGATTTAATTTATTTTAATTTCGTTGAGATATATAAGTGGTTCGTACGAATTGCATTGTGGGGAAGTCAATGAACTAATTGATAAATAGTAGGAAACACAATTTTTGAGGTCAAATGAACATGAAAATGATATATATATGTTGGGAGACAAAAACTACAGATAATAATACAAATTCTTGGTCCGGCTGCTAAACAACAATTTAGTCACATGTGTTTAATTAATATATGTCGCAACCACATTCCCCTATTGCCTTGGCAAGTCATCAAGACCTAAGGATTTTTATTTTAATTTTTTTCTATTGAAGTATATTTGTGAAATATACTAGATAGAAATTATAAATGTTTGATTTATTTAGAAATTGTGACAAATGTGAGATAAAGACTAATTAATAGATAAGGAATCTAGAATTTTATTGTCCATAAAAGAGCTCGTGTCATTGAAACAAGCTGCGGCGAGCCAAAATATTGTCATATTATATCGAGTTTTTGTGGAGTGGGCTCATCGAGTTCACGAGCCAGCTCAGCTCATTTATACCCATGGGCACAATATAAATAGGGATTATTTGTCAAAAACCCCCCATTACACAAGGCTAATTACAATAGGTCCAATTTTTTTTAAAATTTTTTGAGATAAATTCATTTCAGTATTAAATAATAAAAAATAATAAATTATCACTATTTCAACCCTAACTTAATTAAATAATAAAAAATAATAAATTATCACTATTTTAACCCTAACTTAAAGTTTAACGTATGTTTTATGATTGGAAATAAAAAAAAAAAATCAAAAAAATTTGTAATATCTTTTCCTATTATATCGTAACAACACATTCTCATATAATCCCACGATTGTGCCCCTTAATTACAGAGAAACCGTTTCAAAGTAATCTGTATTATTTCCACACATTTACCACCGATCAGATTGCAGGAGCAGAAAGTTTCGTCTCAACAAAATAAAGATTGGTTTCCGTGCTTTACAGTATATATATATATATATATATATATATATATATATATATATATATATATATATATATATCAACAATCAGTTCTTC